TTCTCAGTGCAGCAGCTGGAACAAATGGTTGCCTCAGCTCCAGCAGGAGTTCCCAGCCACCAGCCTCGCCCAGCGCTGACCTATGGACATTTTTGCCATGGCTGTCTCAGGCTTTTTATAGTTTTTGCACACTTGTTGCATACAGGATACCTTACAGGTGTGGGCCTTTGCTGAAGTATTAGCTAGCTGTTTGGGGAGGGCTTGGAGTTTGTTTTTTTCCTGTAGTCTTGCTTTTCTTCAGAAGCATTTCAAAAATGAGGGAAAACTTCCTGGATTCAAGACTGAATTTGAGATGCAGTGTTTCACCATCAGCCAACCAGAGATTAATCTGAACTGTCTCAAAGTGTACTCCTCGGATGAGAGGGCAGGCACATGTTTCAAATGGTAACTGTGAGTCCAGGTGTGGCATTGCCATTGCAGAGCACTTGCAGGGGATACACAGCCACATGGCAGCAGCTGTGCCAGTGCTGCAGCCAGGGGATTTCTTCCCTCCATCCTTGCCCTGCCCAAAATGCCTGAGTACGGTTCAAGCTTTACTGCTTGCACCCCGTGATTGCTGTTTGCAAAGGAAATGTTTGCTCTTATACCGACCTGGACAGTTTTCCTGCATAGCTTTAAACAGATGTCCAGTGCATGCCTACTGCTGAGTTAGGGTACTCTTCCCTGCGAGCTCTTAGTCTTCGCCCACTAACATTTTATTAGGGATTATGGTTGGGTTTTTTTCAGGTCAATCATTAAACCAAATAGCAGTTTCATCTTAGCCCTAACTGGCCAAATACTTTGGCTCCTGCTGTTTCCAGCACAAATATGCTGTCCCAGTCCTGCTGGTGTCCATTCAGGAGACCATGCCCTGCCTACACTGCCTCACTGCAGCATGAGCACATGCTTGGGAGAAGTAAAAGATACCAACTGCGAAGGCCAAGCTGATGAGTAGAAGTGCCCTGGGGAGGGTGAGACCAGTTCCCAAAGGATGCTGCCACAGGCTGTGCTGCAAGCCTATGCAATGGGACTGGAGCCCTGATGGGCTAGTGGTCTCTGAGGAGGAGGCCACCAAGGTTTAGTCACTCAGGAGTGGGTGTCTGTTTGAGCTGAGACTTGTGGGGCACAGTGTGTGTCCCCAGGCCAACAGGCATGAGTGATCCCTTTGCTGTTAGCCTTTAGTGTTCATGACAGGTTATGACACATGCATGGCAAGGTGCCCTAAAACATAATAGAAGGTCTCCAGGTTTGTAAACTTCAGGTCCTCATTTTTAGTTACTTGTTTTTTTCCAAACTGCCAATACTGAGCGATGCTATACATTCCGTTTCTTTTACTTTCCAGGTTGTGTGAAGAAACTCAGGCCCAGAGAAGGGAACTAAAGTGATGTGGTGTGGTGATACACCATGTATGCTGCATCAGAGCTGTGTTAGGGACCGTTTCAACCAACATTCAGCTTCTTCAGGTTGTCTCAGAAATGAGAATTGCATCCTCATCTGCTTTATTATGTTTTTAGAAACTGTAGGTATCAGCTTGCACCAAGATGCTACATTTTCGTGAGTGGATGAAGTATTACTTCTTTACTGAAATACTGAAGAACCTCACGTAGGACAGCATGTAATTATCTCATTGACAACCCGATTGACTGATTAGGTTTTGCAGAAGATTTTCAGGCTATGCTGAGGAGAAAAGGCATGCTGTGAACCATGCCTGTCTTGGATGTAAATGTCACCAGTGTGCCAGGGAGAGCTGTGGTGGTTTCAGGCTTGGTTAGCAGGTGCTGAGCGAAGCATGGGGGACTGAGTTCCCCCTGCCCACAGGTCACGCTGACTCAGTCAGGAACTCTGTCAGTCTCCCAAGTGTTTCTGCAGCTGTATGTACCATCTTCAGAGGGTTTGGGGAGACAAATGTAGTAGGGATGGCATGTTTGTGGGAGGAGGAAGCCTGTGGGCAAAGACACTGGAATGCAGTAGAAACAGTCTCACTGGCAGTTTTGTACCTCAATATGAGGCAGGATTTTGGCCATGTCTCATAGCCCCAGAAAGTGTCTGGGCCATACTGCCCATCGCAAACAGTAGGCAGTGGAAGGGGCTTTGCCATCATCCCCAGTCCAGATGTCTCCCGAGCAAAGGGTGCAGGCCAGTGTCCATGGGACCAGACAGGGTGCCTGGGGCCAACCCCTCACCCTGGTCTTGGAGTTGGGAGGATTGAGAAGGTGGCAAGAGGGACATCCAGGTCTGCATATGAGGTCCTGGTCTCTTGCCCTGAAGTGTCTTTGCAAGGAGGGCCTAGATAATGCATCTGGGTTGACTTGTAGGACAGGTGTCATAGCAGAACCAATTTAAGTCCATAGGGCTTTTGGAAATTATGTCATTAGGCCTTTCTCCTCCTGGATTCATTGTGCATGTGTCACCCTCTGTATTCTCCCCCTGTCAATCGCTGTGACCATGTTGGTGGGACCAGAGGGGATGGGGAGGCTCAGCTTGTGCCTACCAAGCCCCTGTCTTGTGGCACACTGGGGTGCCCAGCAGGATTTAGCTGCCAAGAGCTCCCTGGGTCTTCCCAAAGCGGTGTAGGGCAGGCAGGCTGAGGAGCTTTGCATTATTACAATTATTTATTGTTACTTTCCCCCCCCCCCAGTTTCTGGCTCTGCAGACCCTCAAATGCTCTTAATGGAGATACAGCCCGTTTATATGTTAATTTTAAGCCTGCTGACAAGCGGTTTCCTTTTCTCCTGACTTCTCACGGTTCCTTCGCCAGTTGAAAGCCGCTGCCATGGGCTTAGGGGATAAGGTGCCGAGAATTAGAAAATAAAATAAAATCTGCAGGATGCTGGAGAGTGAGGGGGTATGAGGATTGGCATGCTCAAAGTATAAACGAGTGATTTCTGAAAGCAAGGAACCCTGATACCAGGGGCGTGCATGACAATTACATCCAGTACAATACAAAATGTTAATTACAAAATTTTGAGAAATTAATGCTGATTAGCAGCTGTGTGTGTGTGTGACCTAAATACATCTATTGCGTGATCTTTATTCATAATATACAGTTTATTGTTGATAAAGTAATGGCTGAATGGTGGGCTGGCCCACGAGTCTCGTAGCTAAAGATTGAGGCCCAATTTGTAAATGGTCTGAAATTTGTTGGCATCTGTTTTTTGTGGAATTTATATGGATGGGAAGGATGGATAGCAGTCTAAGCTATCCCCTGTACAACTCAACTCACAGATATTATTGAAAATTCATATTTCTTTTATTATTTGGTCACAAAAATGGACCTAATGCTTGTTGGCTTTAAAACACCTACTAGCGCTGCTTTCTCTCTCCATCTTGCAAAATATAAGACAAGGCCGAAGCTTAAATTAAAATCCTCAGGTTCTTATCTCTTTCCCACAGGAAAGCAAATCTGTGTTGAAAACCGTAAAATTAAGAGGAGAGCAAGGATAGCATAATTTAGCAAAAATTCATGGCACCAGATTCTGAGCTATATGACTGGAGGGATAGGTCAGACATTAAGAAGATACTGCCTGCTAATGCAAGTTCCTTAAGGTGGTGCTCTGGAAACAACAAAAGCAGAAAATGCTGCACTGGTTCCCGTTTGCTCCCTTTCCTCTGCTCCTGCCAGCCTTAAGAATAAATTGAGTTGTCCATTTAATAACTCATCTGCATCCAGAAGTCCAAAAAATCATGGACATGTGCTTGGAGTGTGGTCCTAACATCTGCTTGTGCTGGGATTTCAATAGTGAACTCAATGAAAATTTATTTTATTGGCTTCTTAAATTATTTGTTTTCTTAATTCCTTATGTTTGACAAGCTGTCCTTGCTGAGTTTTATCATCATATCTGTCTGAAGGACAGCTTTAGTTTTTAGAAAATTTTACTGAAAACCTGTTCCATAATTATTGGTGCTAAGGGGCAGGGTAGAGCGATGGGGTACAAATGAGGAGCACCTGTTACATGCTGGCATCATCACTAGGCTCATCCTGCCATGGGAAAAGCAACTTGTGTTTCAAGCAGCATTGATATGACGGCATTCCCTTGGGATGGAGGAGTTCTGTTGTCTTGCAGCCTTGATCTGAGAGTGTGATTTTGGGCAGCATCCATCTCTCACGCCGACTGCCTCCTCCCCTGTGCCTCTGAAGGAAGTGCTGATGGGAAGTGTGTGTCTTGGCCTGCGTGGACATCACCTTATGGCACCCATTTTGATATCCTCTTGATTTTTATAGTGCTTTGATTTCTCCTTGGCACAATGCAGTGAGAGGCCTTCCAGCTGTCCCTGGGTGGTGAGCAGGTCTCCCCACTAAGTAACCCCTCTGAGAGGCCACTGCCAACTGCTTATCTGTGAAATCAGACTTTTAAGGGTTGTTTTTCAGTTACCTGGTAGAGAGACCAAGAGATTTCAACTAGTGTTTGTAAAACTGCAAGGGAAAAAACCTGCTGTACCCTCTGGCAATGGCAGGGGTTTGTCCCAGCTGTGCTGTGCTGTGGCCGTGCAGGAGAGCAATGGAGAGGAGGAGTGAAGCTGATGAAGCTCATGTTGTTCTTAAGGCTGGAGATGTGACAAACCTGCACCTTAAGCCTTTTTTTTGTTTGTTTTTAAATGCTGTTTCACTAACCAAAGGGTTTCTTCAGTACTGCTGCTGGCTCTGTTGTCCTTTGGTTGCACACAGCCTTTGGTGCACAGTGCCTGCCTGCACAGCATATTGGTCCTCCTGCCCTGCAGCTCTCCATTTGCCATTTCCCTGTCTCTGTGTCTCCCAAACCTGGCCCCCACCATTTCCCTGCATTTCCTCAATATCTGTGTCCATCCTCAGGTGCCAGTGGTTTGAGGATGCTGATTCTGGCAGCAAATCTGGTTTCCATGCACTGGCCCCAATGTCATGTCTGTCAATCTGTTTACCCGGGTTCAGTAATGCAAATATTTAAAACTTGCATTTTGGAAATGTCCTCTTTTTTTTTTTCCTTCACTGCAGAAGCCTCCTTTTGCTAATACCATTTAATTTAATTTTTGTTCTTCTCTTGCAGTCAAACAAGGTGCCCGTGGTACAGCCTTCTCATGCGGTTCACCCCCTCACCCCTCTTATCACCTACAGCGATGAGCACTTTTCCCCAGGGTCGCACCCGTCTCACATCCCCTCTGACGTCAGCTCCAAACAAGGTGAGCCTCTCCTTTCCCAGTGCAGTGGGAATGCAGAATGGTGCTGGTGTCCCCTGTGCTGCTGACAGAGCTTTATTTGTAATACTTTAGAGGGAGGGTTCGAGGTGCATATTCCCACTTTCCAAGGTGGTAATTCTGCCGTGATGCTGATATTTAACTTGGCTGTTTTAATTTTCATGCTCCTTCTCATGTGATAATTCAAGCTTGTTTTTCTCGTCAAAGTCTTTTAAAATCTTAATAAACAGCAGCCAGTCTTCACCATCTCCTGTGGTGCCCAAGGCTTGCAGCTTGCAGATGCAGAAATGGCAATCATCCCTTACCTTCCTGAAAATGAGGGACAAGTATTTCAGTAGTGATGTTATTGAAACCTTTCCTTTTCCCCTTTTATTCAAAATTGTGTTTTGTGTCCTTGTATTCTGGCTGTCCATAATCTTCCGTGTGTCAGCTGGCATAACTGTTGTCCATAAAAAGAGTTTTGAGCCTGCACAAGTTCAGGCTTTGCAAATGTTATGGTTTTTAACCTTCTTGTGCCCACTGCCTTCTGCAGAAAGCATGTTTTTAGATGTCTAAGTCACAGATGTCGGTTTTCCCTGTGCCCTTAGGACTCCTTAAAGCAAAAAAAAAAAAAAAAAGTCTCCCAGATCCATATCTGGGAACATCAGACCAACCCTGCTCTGGGTCAGTCTGCAGGCCCCCAGGGAAGTGCTGACAGCCTCTGAGGTGTCAAGCCCAGCCTGTGCCAAGAGCTCTTGCCCAGTGTCTGGGAGAACCCACAGGTTTATTGGGAAGAGCATGCTCACTTGCATTGGGATGCAGGAGCTGGGGAGGGATGTGATGGATGTTAGGGAGGTGCAGGGGGAGGACTGACCCTGGCTATTGTGGGTCTGAGCCAGGGTTTAAGTAAGCACCAGAGAAGAAGCCTGCATGGGAGAGCTGGGGATGAGGAGGGTAGGAGAGGGAGCAGAGGGTTTACAAAGGCATTCACCATATTCTGGGTGTCTGCATGAGTGTGAAGCCTGTCTATGCTGCAACTGCTCCTGGAGGGTGCCTCTCCCTGCCTCTTTCTGCACTCTCATGTTCCACTGTGTGCTGTGACACCTAGTTGACAAGATTGTGAAGCTCTGCTTTACCTGGGCACATATCCACATGCACAGTTGTCCCATTTATCTGGAGAGGTGTTCAGCCGTTGTTTAGGGAGAGAGGCTTTTTTTGTTCTGACTTTCCCAGATGCCTAGGTTTTATTTTGGCCATGCTGTGCAGATAATAACATGGGCTACATCCAGAAAATACCATGGCCTTGTGGCTCTGTGTTTTCTTTGCTGTTTGTTGGTTAGTTGTTTAGTTTTTTTTAGGGAATGCAAAAAGCACTCTGCTGGAAAGCCTGTCCTGTAAATACATGTATAAGATCTTTTTTCAGACTTGGAAGAAGCAAATGGAGACCTCCTGTCCTCATTTGTCTTCCTCCTTTGCATCAGTGCCCAAGAGAAGGATATTCACACTCATTCCTTGAAATCCCAGGGGTGCCACGTGTTAAGAGAACGGGATTTCCACCTCTTGCTGAAGCTGGCTGTGACAGCTGGGGTACGCCCCACTGCTGCAGTTCGTGAGCTCAAGGGGTTTTCGCTTACTGCATGTTTGATTTGCCTTCTGTGCCCCATTTCTTTGTCTTTACCCCTGGTTTATTTTTGTACTTGGGTATTGCAGACCCCAGCTGAACATCTGGCTTGTTGTTTCTGCTGCCCATCCTCTCTTCTGCCTCTTCTCTACCCTCTCCCCTGTCCAGCATCCCACTGGTCACATCCCCATCCCCAAGCATAAGCCTAGTGAGGGGCTCTGCTGGGAGGCACAAAGCTCATGCCCCTCTGGTGTTCCTGAATGGGCTCTTGATCCCTTTGCTTTGTGTCTGGCAAAGATGAGGATGGATAACACAGGCTGGAGAGTTCTGGTTTTGTCTGGGATGGTCTCCTTGATGTGTGTGGTCTTTCCATCCATACTCCCCATTTTGGTGCCACTGGCATGTGGGAGCAGCTCCAGTGAAGTAGCCCATGCAGTTGCTGCAAAGAGAGGATTTTTTTTTTCCCTCAGGTCTTCTGCCAAACGCCTCCAACCATTGTTTCTGTCCTTGCCTCCCACTCTGGGTCTGGAACAAGGCACTGCCCTGGCACCCTAGCCCTGATACCACGGTGCCTTCCTCCCACCAAAATCCTCCAACAAGGGGATGGACACACAGCATTGGCTTGCTAAACTCAGTCACTGATTTAATTTAATTTAATGCAATGTAATTTAATTTAATTTTGTTTTGTTTTATGTTATTTGAATTTTTTTTCTTAACCCTCTCACTGGAGAGCACTGGCCATATGATAGCTGTGTGTCCTCCTGCTGGGCATTAAATAGCTTGTAGCCTGCTGTAAGGGGCCAGAAGTTTTGGATTAGCAATAACAACTGTGCATTAATTAAGTGGGAGCTGTGTTGTCTCCATGGGTCAGAAATGCAAATTTTGGGGATAGAGTGGCCTGGCTTCTTGTGCAGAACTTGGTCTGGCAGAGGCAAGATATTGTCATCACTCTTAGGAGCATCAATCGTCACCAGAGATAAGAGAGAGGAGATGCTGGGCTTGTTTTTCACCTTTGTTGTT